GAACCCAGGCTCGAAGGTTTCAAGCAGCTTTTGGAGAAAAGTATTGACTTCCCCGTCTCCACTGGCACGGATCCCTGGGGAAAACGCCAGCCGCGACTCGCGTCTCATTTCCAGCACCGGCCACTTCCGCACCCGCACCCGGGTCCGCACTCGGAGAGATCCCCGCACAAGCCACAGGTCACGCAGAGCCAGTGCAGGTTGGCCCACACCACGATGCCCGTCCTCGCCAGAGGCCTGGCCTTGGCCGCACATTCAGAGTGCCATTACCCTCAAGTCTCAGTTCTACTCAGCTCTCCAGGCCCTGCTGTGAACTTCCCATCAGGCAGGAACACTACACACCTGGGGGATTCCCCAGGGCGCCGGGCTCACTGATGTACTCAGCACATCACAACCCAGTACCCTCAGAATTCCCGGTCTATGCAACTCCAGTTTGATGGCTAGGTCAGGTGACAGGGTAAAACACTCCTAAAGAGCCACAATAGTTGGTGAAACCAACTTATGTTTCGTGCCAAAAACAAAATGTGTGTTCAGCTTTTGGGTAAGACTATTTATTCTGGAAAGCTCCTCCTCTCATAGATTTCCATCTTATTGTAGTAAAATACAGAGACCATAAAATTTTTAACTATTTTTAAATGTACAGTTCAGTGGCATTAAGCACAGTCACACTGTTGTCAGCCATCACCACCTTCATCTCCAGAACTCAATCACCTTCCCAAACAGAAACTCTACCATTAAAGGCCATTGAACCACTTCCCTCTCCGCAGCCCCTGGCAACCACCAGTCTACTTCTGGACTATAAACCTGTCTGCCTAGTGCCTCAGGAAAGTAGACTCATGACATTTGTCCTTTGTGACTGGTTAAAGTGTCTTTTAATAGATTTAATATATCTTTGACCCAGAGCTAAAAACCCCAAACACTTAAGGATTTAAAAAAAATTCTGGAATAAAAATCACATTGCTCTACTACTTTTATTTGGTGACGTAAAAAAGTGCTCGCCACATCTCAAAAGCCACTCTGACTGCTGCTGGCTGCAGGGAACACGATGTGAAGAAAGACGGACTGGCCTGCCCTGGCGGCCTCGGAACCTAACTGATTACCAGTGGTTTCCAGAGCTGCAGTAGGCAAGACTCTCCCACACTGGAATCTGACGCCTTCTGTAATTAATTATATACGATTTAAATGAGTTACACCACTTTTTTAAAAACAAGGTGCCAGTTGATTTTATCTCAGTATTTGTTTCACTAATATTAAAACTATGGAGAACTCGTACTATGTGACATCACACTTCTTCAGTAATTCCACTGATACAGCCCTGAATGTGCTTCCACTGCCTCTGGGTTCTGTCTTAAACATGGGGAGGGGGCTGCAGGCAAAGGTGAACCACCGAGTGTGCTCCCAGGGAGCTGATGAGAGAAGGGCGAGGGCAGACACACGGCAAGCTGTCACTGAGCAGGATCTGACACAGACGGAAACCTGAGTCACAAGAATGGCAAGGAGGGAAGCCAAAATCTGGAGGCAGGTGGAGGGAGGAGGGACTGTCCGAGACGGTCACAGATATGTAGTATTTTGAAGCTTGGAGGGGGAAGAATCAAATATGACTTAGAACTGGGCAACTCTTCCCCTTTCTTGTAGAGAGAAAAATAATCTCGCTTTAACCCACGACTGTCAACAATAGAGCACAACCTAATTTTTGCTCTCTTACTTTGAAAGCCCGATTCTCCTGACTGTCATGATGACCTCTTTTGTTGAGAGTTATCATCAAATCAAGCGGACGATAAAGTTCTAGTTGGCAAGGTGTTGGGGGAGGTAACATATTTTCAATTGACCTCCTTCTAGAAGTCTCTGCTGAACAGGTACGCATGGCACACTGAAGTACTTTTGAAGGACAGTTCTGCAGGGTTTGAGGGAAGCAAACCACCTGGAAATTCTGAGCTTAGTCACATTAGCAAACATTCGGTAAAGTAGCTGCTTGAGGAGGCAGGCAGGCACAGGAAGGGGCCCTTGTCTGTGCAGAGCAACCAGGCCCTGCCTGAAGGCACGAATGAGGAACTTACCTGAAAATACCACTTTCCGCCGCACTGTGAGGTTGACGTGGCCTTGTTTGGCAGCTTGTTGCATAAGCTGGACCACAAGCTGGTGTGACTTTCCAATGACTGGTGTCCCATCCACACAGATTAATTCATCCCCAGACCTCAGGCGGCCGTCCGTATCAGCAGCACCCAGTGGTACGATGTGACCAATATAAATCTGTGGAGCAATCGGATGACCGATAAAACAGCGACCTTTTCATTCGCTATTATACTCAAAGACTTCACACCTCCGGGAACGCTTTAATTCATCCCTGTCTGTATCCGCGCCCCAAACACTTCCTAGTGCCCACGGGATGCCAGGCACCGGGCTAGGTGCTTCAGCAGCTCTCACATGGCGGAGAAAGAGCTTTCTCTTGTTTGGTTCCCAGACACTTCTCTGTGGTGATGGTTCTTTTTCTCCTTTGCAGAAATAAAACACTTCATTCCTTTCCTCTGCAAAACCCTTTCTCCTTTTCTGTCCACTTACAAACCAGCCTTTCAGAAAACTCTGCTAATTGTAATAGTGGTACTGCTTTTCTTCAAAACACAGCACTGTGCCTCGCAATAGCGAGTGCACAATAGACTATTAAATGAAGGAGTGAATCAAGCAAGTGTGGTCTGTCCTCTGCATTTCTGTCCTCTCAGCACCCGCATCCAAGCAGCCTTTATTTAGTGCCTTATGTTTACCGGCCACTCAGCTTTAGTTAAGATAGCTGTGCTCTCCCTGCCTTCTCCTGAGATGCCAATGCTACCGCTACCTTTGCGTGACATGCATAGTTTACAGAGAGCTCTGCCAGCTGAGTGGTTAAGAATATGGACTCTGGAATCAGACCCTTTCCAGTCCTTCCATTACTAACTCTGTGATCATGGGCAAGTCAGTTAACCTTTTGGGTCTTCGTTTGATGATTTCAAAAATGGGGAAACACTCATGGACTTGAAGGATAAATGAGAGAGTGTATGTTAAAGCCTGTGGCATAGCATCTGGCACAGAGTAAGCACTCAATCAGTAAGTTATTGTATTCTGATGAGGGAATTACCAATACATTTCTTTAGTTCTCTTTTCCCCCTTCAAAAGGATTCTGTGATGTAATACTAAGTTTACTCTAACGATGAGGCCCAGAGAGGTGAAGTGTCTCCTGACTCTTGTTTGGGGTTCTTTCTCTCCTTTTGTAGACAGTTGGGCCCAACCTTTTCTAATCTCCCAACCTGGTGCTCCTCAAAATGCAGAACTGGCGGGAGCATCACATTGTTTTCTTACTGGATCCCGATTCCTTTTGCTTTTTGGCTTCATATTCTTTGATAGCAGCTCCCACTTTTCACAAACATGAACACAAACTTTTATAGTGAAACCAAGGGTCCTTATGACTGTGATTAAATTCAGCTATAATCCTAGGCTGGAAATCATGTCTCTCTCTCTAACCCTCGGAGACCCAGCCTTTCCCCTGATAAGCAGCAACCCCCGAGGCAGCGGAAGACAAGAGCCTGGTCTGACTAATGGTCATGGGCCTGGGCCTCCGGCAGGATAAAGGTAACATCCTGCCCTGGGCCAGGTTTCAGCTCCTGAGCCCTAAGGTGGAATGACCCCCTGGCTACTTCCCCGGGAGACAGACAGATGGACACTGTCCTTGAGATCTGAAAAAATAATTCCTCACCCTCACCTCAGCTCCGACGGTCAGCCCCTAGCACAACCCCGAGCCTCCAACACGGTGCCTTGTGATTCAGCCCTATGGAATCTGTGTCCTACACCACCGGGGAGTCCAGGCTTTGAGCATCAGCTTCCGGTTCTCCTGGGTGGTGCACTCATAATGAAATACCCAGTCTGTCTCCACTGCAATTGTGTCCGTGCTTGGCTCTGCCAGCGCCGGGTGGGTGAACTCTTTCTGTTCTCTAACCAGTCCCTTTTCCCTCAAGACAAAAGCTCCACAAGACCTAAGAAAAGCCCCTCTGCCTGGACGAGGTGGTCAGTGTGGCACCTGGCTGGACTCGAGACTTGGGGATTGTTACTGCTGCCAGCACTGTGTGTGTGTGGGGGGGTGGCGGGGGGGCGGGAAGGGACATAAAAGACTCACAGGTTCCCCTGGTTCATTTCCACCCAGAATCCTAAATCCAAATCCAGTCTCTTTCCTCCAGAGGAAGATGTCCTGTTCTTGGTAATCTGGAACTAGAGGGGGAAGGAAGAGAGAGGTTATTTCTCTGATACAAGGCAGCACACCCCTAAGGTTACAGCTACAGGCCCGACACTGGGTGCTTGAGCAGACGACAGTCTTCTAACACAGACAAGGCAACGAACAACAGGACGCGGGCGAGGGCGGCCAGTGGCAGTCGTCACTGAGCATGAAGTTTTTTCAAAGGACTAATCACTGTTTGATAATTCCTAACCAAGCCCGAGCCGTTATCCCTGACTAAGCCAGTGATCAGCAGGGGCATGAATTGCAATCACCACAGCCGCCCACGGTGCCGGAAGAGAGATGCTAAGTCACAGCAACCCAGAGGGTAAGTCACCTGATGCTCCATCAACTGAAAGAAGGAGCTTGGGGTGAAGAATGTTCCATTAAAAAAACCAACCAAACCAAAAGCACTTCTTTCTTCTTTAAAGTAATCAAGGCCAGCGATGCCAATAATTTAACTTCTTAGATCATTTTTTGCCAAAATAAGTTAGTCTTAAACATCCTAATATTTCCAAATTTGCAAAGTTTACTAAGATTTCAGTACTTTACCCAAAAGTCTCCAGCCTTCCATATCTTTAAGATTAATGATAACAAAATTGTTCTGTATCAATGAACCATATTTCATTGTTAGAGCTTTACTCCAGAATTTGCCTATAATATTTCATCATTAAAAGTATTACTTTATTATCCAATAACTTGATATTTTACTTTTAAAATTCTATATTTCAGGGTTTAAAATAAAAAAATCTCATTTTTCAAAAGAAAAGCAATTTCCATGGAAACATGCTAACTGTTACCTAGCTATGGCAATTAAAAAAGGGTTATTTCTACTTAATTTTTATTTAATAGATAGTGCTTTATATAGTCTATAAATGACATAGCTTCTATTTAAAGAGGAAAAAAATGTAGTTTAGTGGCAGTGAATCTTAACCAAGATTTTCAAATATTGTTCTGCAGACTTCTGGTTTAAGTGCTTGCATTCGGGGCTGCAGCGGTGTGCAGACCCGAGCATTTAATTCTCTTCTCCAATTCTGTACAAAGGGCCAGGGAGGAGGAGGCAGTGTTTGCACTTCAAGTTGGAGAGAGGGCCCGTTTTAGTGACTCACCCACAGGCTTAAAATGTACAGTGAATGAATGTGCCAAGAAAGCAGCAGCTAGATAAACAGGGAAGAGCAAGGCAGGGAGGTCTGCCTCTGATATTTCTGCTTGAGCTGTCTTAATGCCGTGGCTTTGAGCAGTGCTTTTCACCCAGCGTTCTTATACTCGCGAGCTAAGCTCCCAGAGCCAGGGACATGGAGTGGAGCTACAGCGTAGGACTCTCATAGACGAGATTTGAGAATTATATTTCCTTAAGCATGCTAAGGTAACACTGTTTTCTTTCCGTTTGAGTGTCTGGCTACAGGGTATTGAGTGTAATAGATGCGTGGAAACAACAAATTAAATCAACTTGGGCCTCCGTCTTGGTTCACTCAAGCAGGATTATTACCAAAATGGACCCTGGGTGCGGCCCGGCGCACCGGGTCCTGGCAGAGCCTGTGCGGAGTCTGCTGAGCCTCCCTGTGAACAGCCTCTGCAGAGACCTCCAGCCAGACCATTTCTCAGCCTCATTTCACAGGAGCACATGCCCGTCCTACGATGACACCAAACGTAGCAAGTTCTGCCTTATAGAGCTCAGTTAGGTGTGAGCTAGCACGGTGTGGGTGGCTGTGGCAACAGACTTAGGCCTATCATACAGGTTAGTCCACAGGAAAAAAGCATTTGTTTCTCCCTTAGAATCAATGGGAAAATGGCAAATTTATTTAAAAACAAGATGCCCAACGACACCAAGAATGTTGAGGACTGCCATGATGAGCCAGGAAAACAGAGACACAAGCACAGTACACCACACGTAGGGATGCTGCGAAGGAAGTCTTTTGGCTCCTTAACAATCACACTCCTCTCCCGCCGACCAAATGCACACAGTTCGTAAACGTCGGTGACACACGGGATCACAGACTTCCTGCCTCTGTGACCTCTGCCGCCAGCGGCACTGAGGTGTCTCAACTACTCCTCCCAAATGGTTAGTTCTCTTCTTTATTTCAGGCAGATTCCATCACAATTACATTTTTAGGAGACGGCAGGGTAGAGCCATCTTTCTGATGTTTATATCCCTTTGTCTTTCTTTTGAGTGAGGCTACATCAAAAAGAGCTAGGAGAATCTTGTCCAGCTTTCTTCACCTTTAAGCCCTTGCATAGGAGGCCATCTCAGCAGTTAATCTCCTTTGGTAACGTAAGTGACAACACAATAAAGTGCTCAAAAGACTTCCTTTGCTAATTAGACGGATGGAATCACCAGGTTTGCACAGAAGGCTCCTGGTGCCTCCATTCCTGCAGACACACATTTCCGGACTTAGCAACCCCATGCCATCACTGTCTCTTTCATCTGGTCTTTGGTCTATGCCTGGTTAACAAGAATTCCAAAACACTAGCTCATGGCATTTCCCTCTCTGTGTCCCATCCCCTCCTTCGCCCCCCCTCCCCCGCCCCCGACCAATGGGAACATCAAACAGAATGAATAGAATGGAGAAATAAAAGTTTTCAGCGAATCCTTACTCTGACATTCTCCAAAATTCGTGGAATTGATTTCTCTCTCTCTCTCACCCTTGCTCAATCCCGACGCTGGCGAAGGTGACATAGCTGGAATATTAATTTCACAATTTGCAAAGCTTAATGTATGTGCTTTCTCTCAGTTCATTTTAATTTCGTTTTGATTGGTAAGGAGCGTGCAGTTGAGCTTTCACAGTAAAGGTCATGGCTGCTCTGGATTTTAAGATTGCAGTTTGATTCTGCTTTATTTTTTCTTTTTTTCATGGTGCTTTTCTTGTCAAAAAGCTAGAATTCACAATTGTACCGCGGAGCATTTCATAGAACCTCCATGACCATATTAGACTCTTCATATTTAATTGAACCCCACCGTACACATTCTTGTATGGCCTTGTCCTAACCATGTCATAAGCTTTAAATCTGCCTAAACCCTTATTTCCTTTTGAAAAAAATTAAGTATACTTTTGTAACTGCCACACGACAGCATTTATTTAAGAGCACCAGGTTCCTGGTGGGATTCATTCTGTGCCAAGACCTGTTCAGATGAATTCCAGGCAGTTCAACAGAATAGCCTTCCATGTAGAGGCACAAAGCATCGGATCTGCCGAGCTCTGAACACACACACAAACAAGAAGTGTCTAGATCACCCAAGCTCCTGAAACGGACTCAACGCAGCCCATTCACCACTTCCAGCTGTGCAAGCGTGTCTCCCCAAAAGCATGGGTTGCTCTGGTTAACGGGGCAGCTCTGACAGGCTTTCTTTCCAAACTATTTGTGAGCAGGCGAAACGCCAGCGGGAAGTTTGAAACTTCCTTTTATAGTCAACACTGGTGGGTACAGCCGGTCCCGAATGTTAACGAGTAAGACTGTATCAGTGTCATTTTTAAAAACACGTGAATAATAGGTATGTTATCTAGAAAAAAAACACACCAAACAGGCAACATGGCTTTTAAAGGACTTTCATGCGTGCCTTTGTTTTTAATTAAACTTGTAAGCCCTTCGAAGGGATTCATGAACACGTCTGCACTGCAGATCGATTCACCTGACCCTGCTGTTGTGACAGATGCCATATCAAGAATATGGTAGTGTGCACCGTACTTAGACCATGTGAAGGAACTGAATCAGAGACGGTGTTAATCTCCACATTGCCCTTCTCAGTAAAATGAAATATAAGGAAAACATGTTTCTCCACAAAGGAAGGCATAGATTAAGGGTACAGGTAAGATACAATCGCTGCCTTCAATGGTCCTGGAGTACTTGGCTCAGTTTAATATCTTGGGGGGAGGGGGGAGCAAATCACATCTGAGGCTACACACTGTGTTTTTCTTCAAAAGACAAGAAAAAACAACCACCTAGGGAATGGCAGAAACGGATCGGTACACGGCCTCCACAGCTGCTTCATCCTGACCAATCATACTCGTGGGAAACGGCCAGTAACAGCAGCAGCCTAAGCAGAGCCCACTGTAGGTGCTAAGATTGAAGCGTTTTAGGAACGTTCATTGGTAATAATGGTAAGATACATGACCACTATTTATGGTGAATAGTCTGTGGAAGTCACTTCATCATAAAGGTAAGAAATTAAACATGAAGCAATGTTTTGTATATAGGAGCCACAGAGTTACGGTGTGTGCCCTCGTTAGTTCCTATTTATTGAAAAGGCAAAGCCGGTGTCAGTAATTAATGCACAGACCACTCAATGTTGTTTTTTCTTTTTATGGGGACTGTTTAGAAAGGCTGCTAATATTGGTTTAAAAAATTACCAGTATTTTTAAAAACCAAGAGACCACTAAGGAATAATTTAATTTTTTCTCATTACTCCCACAATCCAAGCCAGTCACTTCATGTTCTCCTGTACATCAGAGCTGTTTCCCAAGAGCATGTGCCATCTCCACACCGGGAAGAGCTAACGGGACGGCAGCCCTTACCTGCCCCCTCCTTTAACTGAAAGGAGCAATAACCCCGTGCCCACCGGTCCCTGGATCTGATGGCCACCCGCATCTACCCTGCCCAAGCTGACGGCCTGAGGGAGCCTCCAGGAATAGCCGGCAGATTCGATCACTGCTGACACGCTCTCACCCCTCCCCTCGGCTTACCTCTGTGCTGTCTACACAGGGAAAACCTATTGCTAATAAGCCCCGAGAGCAAGCTGAGGCCCTGGAGGTGGGGCTACCCGAAGACAGCAGCCGGGGTCTACTCACGTCGGCTTTCATACATGCTCCTGGACTGGGCCCAGATTTTAAAAGGATCTGGCTTTTTCTGCCCAGAGCTGTCGGTCTGCTCTGCAGCAGGGGCCTCTGCAGGTGGGAACTCCGGGAGCACCTGTGTGCTGTGGCTGGGGGAGGCCGTGTGCAGGCTGCGGTGGCTGGCGACGCTGTGCTGTGAGCTGTTCTGGCTGTCTTTTCTCTCCAGTGGTTGCTGAAAGGAAGCGAGTGAGAGGGGCAAGACGAGAGGGTTATTACTGGTTCTGAGTGGGTGTTTCCTATCAGCTCGTCTTTGTTCAGCACTTCTGTGCACACACACACAAATGTATCAACAATATGTTGGCTTCCACCTTCCTCCAGCTAATGCTGAATGCAGACAAATCCCCAAGCGATTGGTAGACAGAGAGAGGGGTGGGCCAGGTGCAAAGACATGAGCACAAACCACACTGCTCTCTGGGCTGTGGCAGAAAATGAATCCAGTTTTCTTTTTTTTAAATCTTTTTTTTTAATATATATATTTTTATTGATTTTTTTACAGAGAAGGGAGAGGGGCAGAGAGTTAGAAACATCAATGAGAGAGATCGATCAGCTGCCTCCTGGACGCCCCCCACTGGGGATGTGCCCGCAACCAAGGTGCATGCCCTTGACCGGAATCGAACCCGGGACCCTTCAGTCCTCAGGCCGACGCTCTATCCACTGAGCCAAATCGGTTCGGCACGAATCCAGTTTTCATCGTAGGTTCTTGGCAAAGACACTGGACTCATTTATGACATTTGAACATCCCCACTTATTTTTGACAAAATGTGACACAAAATACCATGAGTGGTTTAAATGTAAAGCCATGATATCCATACGCAATATAATCAGCGGTAAAATGTTTCTTTGGAACCCACGTCTTTCATTATTCTTTCGATAATAAATACCTGACTCCTATTTAACCGTTTGCCATCAAAACTTCTGGACTCCAAGGAAAGGGGATCAGAGCTTTTATTTTATTTAATTTTTTCCTTCATTGTGTTCTTTTTTTTAAAAAAAAATTTAATTTCTTTATTTTTTAAAGTATTACATAGGTCTCCTTTTCCCCCCATTGACCACTCCCCAGCTGCCCTCACCCCCGCCCCCTCCATCTGTGTCCATTGGTTATGCTCATATGCATGCGTACAACAAGCCCACACCCAGAAATGTGCCCTTGACCGGAATTGAACCCGGGACCCTTCAGTTCACAGGCCCAAGCTCTATCCACTGAGCCAAATCAGCTAGGGTGAGAATCAGAGCTTTGAGAATCATTATGTGTGCACTTGAACTTAGAAGTGGATAAATAACTATTATATGAAGAACTTCCATAATTCTTAGGTGCTCTCCTCACACTACTGTTGGCTGAAAACTGACATCAAACTTTATATATGGGTTGACCTCAGGGGCCAGCCTTCTTTGATTTGCACCCTGTCCAAAGTCCAAATAGTATTCAAAGGTAAAGAACTTCATTTAAATTTCAACAGAACAAGCAGGTGTTCCTTAAAACCTGCCCAGCAAATGACCCTTCCCATTTTATGAAATGTTCTTTGAACAGGGAGCAAAAATTAGGGGGAGGAAAAATACTGGGTGGGAATTGAAATAATTTCAGTTCTTATTTTCTCCAGTAAAAGACTGGTAAGCCCCAGTGTTTAGTTTCCCCCATTCAAAATAAAACCCTGGAACCTGCCTCTCACATGACAAGTGCTATGTCCCTACACTTACCTGCCGAAGAGCCTTCTCAAGGGACTGAGGACAGGAAGGGCTGTCTGTCTTCTCTTAAAGATCTTATATAGCTTACACTTCCCAAGTACTTTATAAGATCTTTGACTCAGAGCAGTCTGGGTTTCTAAAGTTCTATGCGGAGTCAAAATCTTCCCTTGGTCTTACAAGGAATTCTACCAGCAGCTCACTCTTGCTTCCTCCCTAGGTAGCCTCCACGTTTCATTCCCATATCAATGGACATTTCCCAGGTCCCTTTCATTTAAATCGCAGGTCTCTCTGCCCCTCTCCTTCCAGTCCTTAATTTAAAAAAAGCATCTGAAGAAAGTCCAAGGAGGACAAAAGCTTCATTTGCCCTTGACAATTACAGATTCCACTCTGAAATCAGGCTCTGGCAAAGACTCAAAGTTGAAGAAAATTGAATGTGCGTTTAATGAAGGCAAGACAGAGCATTTAAAATGTTACTTGGTGTGTCCGTGGGAGAAATCTGAGGACCGTATTCTAAACTAGCAAAGAGGCACCGGTAACCCTGTAGGAGGGGTTTGATTCACTTAGAGTCAAGGACAGCGGCTCTGGGAAGGCAGTGTTTGGGGGGTGGGGGGGGGGGCGGTGACAAACACCATCACCAACCCACATGAGCATTATTCTCTTCTGCGGATAAAGCGCTCAGCTCAGACTGCGCGGGTCAGCATTCCGAAGACTTGGAACAGAACCTGTTCAGCCAACTTCCAGCCGCCCCGCCCCCGCAGTGAACTCTCAGGGCCAGAGATCTCATTTCTGCCCCCGAAGGTCAAAGCCTGCCTCTTGCCTCCCCCAGAGACAAGACGCCCTTGGTGTGGGAGCATGCCAGGCTGCAGCAGCGCGGCCACAGCACAGTTTAAGGCACCTTCTCAGGGCGCTGCCTTCCTGGTGTTTCCCAAACCAGGAACCAGGTTCGGGCGGCAGTTAAAGTGCTCCAGAGTCAGAAAACATGAATGACAGAGAGGCTCTCCTTCCCCTCTGCACCTGGGACCTGTGTTTCTCCTGGCTGCCATCTTTCCACGGTGGCCTTGCCGCACCAGCACGGGCAGCACAGCCACGGGGTGTGCACCCTCTTCCTCCTTCCCTGTGCTGCCTCCTTGGTGTTAGGGTGCACAGCGCAGGCTTCTTATAGCAGACAAGATGTAGAGCTCTTCTCATTCTGAGGCTAACCTTGGTAAAAAGAATCAGTGGGGACTGTTACTCTATTTTCTACATTTGGGCGATACTTTGTTTTTGTTCACCTCTGGGAGTGGGGGAAGGAGAGATTTTTTAAATATAAAAGCAAATAATTCAATAAAGGGCCTCTCAGTGTACCCTGAGAGTTGCATTCCTCCCTTCAAATGCCTTCTCTCCCCCTCTCTCTCTCTCTCTCTGTCCCTTGAATCAGTAGCAAATGTCAGATTGTGGGGTCTGTCCCCTGACACTACACTGTTCCACAGGGAGGCCTCCCGGGCTCGAAGCTCAGTTTCCTTCGGGTCCACAAAGCCTCAGGGGGGCCCGAGCGAGCGCTCCGCAGGCTCACCCGAGGCACACAGCACTCTTCCCCCTTCGTGGGGTCACTCTGTGGTCTCTGGAACCCAAATTTCACCTCTGCTCCCCCTCCTGACCTGGAGAAAACCATCACCTGCGACGCTGCTCCACTGAGGAGTATCATAACCCGGACCTTCCCCTGCAGAGGGTGCGCGAGCGTCCACAGTTGTGCACACAACACACACAGAGCTGGTGTGTCGCCCACGGGGTTCCAAGACCCTGCGATGGCTGTCGGTGTAACAGGCCTCTGGCATTGGGGAACGGACCTCCCCAATTTAGCTGAAGACATGGATTGGCCATAAACAGAGGTGCACTGGAGATGATCTGAGCTATTTTTCAAGTTGAAACATCCGTCTCACCTCTTCAATGAAGGAGTCATGTAGGTCCAATTTAACGCAAAATGGAAGAAGTTTGCAAAACTGCCTTTCAATCCAACTGCACTTCTGCAGCCCTTTTAAATGCCACCCAAACGTGGTTCCCAATTTGGAAAATACCAGGAAGGCAGCTCCCGGGAAGTGCTTCGCACTGTGCCGTGGCCAGGCCGCTGCCTGGCACGCTCCCCACCAAGGGCTACGTGCACGTTGACACGGGAGCTTGCGGGGTCTCCCCCGGTGAGCCTTAGCCTCACCTTATGTTTCTTCTCAAGTTTAGTTTGGAAAAGCACTTCACTGGAAGGTGCCTCCTGTATTTACCATGTTGGCACTCTGAGCTTTCTGCGGCTTTGCCTCTATATGTGAAAAAGCCCAAACCAAGCCTGTTATCTTCTGTGAGCATCTGATCAGCTCTGGCACTGCCTTTATCTGGTAGAGCCCACCGCTGTCCAGGAGGAAAGCCGTTCCTCTCTCAGATTACCGTCCACCTGGGGGCCTCACCCGCAGTCTGCGTGCCCTCCCGGAAGACCTGGGGCAGGAGAACAAATTCAGGTCTCAGCTAAATATAAGGAACAGATTTGCATCTAATGTGATTGTCCTTCACCTCATCTTCTAGGTGAAAAACCGGCCCAAAGCCAGGTTTCTGCAGTTAAAGATACACCTTCCAGTCTGTTACCGCAAGCCAGGCACACGGAGAACACGGATGGAGGGAGCGCCCAGAGCACCCAGGTCAGAGCGGCCCGCGAGGTCCTCCTGAGCCCCTGCTGCCGTCCAGGGGGGCAATGAAGTCCACTGGAGGTGGTCTGAGCCGTTTCTCAAATTCAAACACCCCTCTCACTCTCCAGTAACCGAGTCACACGTCCTGACCGCCTGCTGTGAGGCGGGCTCTCAGGGCTGCGGTGTGTGTGAGTAGGAAGGGGTGGCAGCGGAGCTCCAGAACTTACATCCTGGGCGTATCGAGGTTGGGTGCGTGTGCCTGTGCAGATGAAAGTAACCATGACAGGCTGGTACCAGCACACCGCACCGCCCTTTAGCCGGGTAAGGAGAGGCCTGGAAGAAAATCCCATTAAGGGCAGCAGCACGTGCTCAGTCTTCCAGCAACACTGAGATTGAGCTGTTAGAGAACAGAGAGGAGGCGAGTGTGGCGCAAGGGGCTGTGGTGTCTCAGGTGACCTGGGAGGCTACCATGAGGGCCTCTGGGCTACGTCAGGGAGTTTGGGTTTCATTCTTAGTCCAGGGGAGGAGGGATATATTAATGAAGGAAAAGCCGGATACATCAGAAGCCAACTTGCTTCCAGCAAGTGTGGTCTGGCTCCTGGGGTTGGGGTGGGGATGGTGTGTGTGTGTGTGTGTGTAAAGGTTAGTGGGGATGGGATGAAAGCAGAGAGCCAGTCAGGAAACAACTGAGTCCGGGGAGGTGCCCGAGGAGGTTTATGTCTGCGGAGTACTAGTGCCCAGGCAGAGGGACAGTGCACTTAGAAGACATTCGGTGCCAAGTCAACAGGCACTGCTCACAGACTGCACCGGGGACAGAGCAGGAGGAGGAAGAGCTATCATAAACGTGGGCATCCCTCCCACCCCTCAACCTCGAGTGACTGGTTGGAAAGGGTTGGAGTACTGAGATGAATATTTCCAATGCCAGCTGTTGTCACTGGGCTGATATTTTTGAATCAAGATTTTTTTTATTTCTGAATATCAAATCAGAACCGACTAGGAAGAAAAAAAATGGGCTTACTTTTGCAAACTCCATAGAAGACCTTGGCCTCACACTAGCTGGTGCCATAAGGCTTTTAAAAATAAAACTGTACCCACCTCCCTAGAATGAATGATTTCCTTACACCGACAGGCCAGGGAGATCAGGAAGTGGCAATGGTTTTTATGGACGAGATGGGGAAAAACCCAGCGCATCAGTTTTTCACAGAATAATTTCAAAATGAAGGTACTTATAATGTGAGCTGGAAATATTTGCTTGGAAGAGCAAATGAATACAGACAGCACTTAGGAGCTTTAATGATGAAAAGAATTCCTGTGGCTTAAAAATGACAAATCGATCCTTTTTAAAGCAGAATTATTTACAGTTCACGTATCTGCCAAGACTGGAGGCCGCTGCAGCGACCTCTATGGACAGAGAACCCCAAGTGCTGCTGGACATGGGCAGTCGTCACCGCGTGCAGGAACCCACTCGCACACGGCACAGTGGAGAATGCTCCTCCTTTTTGTGTCTTTCTTTGGTCATTTATGGGTCTAAGGCAAAAGATTTCTTCCAAAAAGGCAGGCAAGAGGAGTTAATGGAGAAGAAAAGGGAGTTAACGACTGGATATGAAGACGAATTTTAGTTCGCAGTGCACGTGTCGAAGCAATCCAATACAACAGCAAGACTATTTTCTAGGGCTCCAAGAGGTGAGGGTGTGAGTTGCTGAGGGAAGTGAGAGGCGAGGAGCTTATCTGAGTCACCCTGTCCTTCTCCCAGCTACTCCTCTCCTTGCAGCGGCTGGGGCTCTGACAGCTTGTAGCACTGCCCTGGTGGAAGGACAAGCGCATCGGGGTCCTGTGATCCCCGCGAGTTTTAGGAAGAGGCAGGACACATAAAACTGGATGATCCAACCCGGGTCCCTTACTGTGCAGCTTCTCTGAGATCCTCCCTCACATCTCTAATGACTAGCGGTCAGCCGTGTCCTCAGCATCCTGTCCAGGGGAAGGAACGGCAGACAATGGAACAGAAACCATCAGTGTTGCTGCCTTTCCTCCTGGGCGTTTGGAGAGGAGACTCCGTTGTCCATGACTCAGTGTCCCCCTTGTGGAAACCGCACGTGAGTTTTCAGTAACTGGGCACACTGTGCCTCCCTTCTGCTTGCTTTGAGCTGACACAGGAAACATGGAATGTGGTTTCCTACGTCGCCCAGGCTGCTAGGGAGCTCAGGAGTCTAACACAGCGCAGTCGCGGCACCTAACAACCGTGGCTCTGTTTTCAGGGCTTTGTATGGCTCCTTCACAGATTATTATAACTTAGAGCTGAATGGGATCATTAAGCGTGTACTTGGTTTGGCTTGGTTAGCTTTTGAGAGTGTATGTTCCTCAGACGTTAAGCCCCCGAGGAGGGTGCAGAGCTGCCTGCTGGGGTCTCTCCTGGTTGCATGAGGCAGGAACGTCTTCTGGTGCAGTCCTGGGGTACCCGGCACTGGTCTGGCATAGAAGACACCCGTCTAATAGTGTTGGAACCGGCACAATACACATTTCTGGTGATTTGTGACAATGCATCTGTCTTTCGAAAGTAGCAATCAATAAAGTGTGTGTTTGTAAGCTCCAAAAGACAGGCACCATGACATCTCCCTTATCACAGTGTTCCCAGTGCCACCCCCCCCCCGCCCCCCCGGCACTGAGGTGCTCCGCCCAAACAAAGGGGTGGATGGACTAACGAAGAAAAGGCAGAGGTATCGATGGGTAAGTGAGTAAATGACGAGTGGACAGATGGATCCATGAAGGAAGGGAGAAACAGAAGCACAGCGAGAAATGACCAAGTGAGAAAACATAATTGGATATTAACTTAAAATGCAGGATTTGGCATGATACTTAGAGTTTTAAATTCTCCCACACAAAACCCTTGTGTGTGATCTAGACCAACAGTCTCAGTTGAATGCGTTTCCAGCCAGGACGATCACGCTGGGCCAGGACCTGTTTCCCAGAGAGGTCTGACACCTGACGGCAAACAGGTCTTACTTCTGTTCCTGCCACTTGGCAGAGAAATCTCTGATTAAACCCAGGATTAAATCAATGGAATTTCGTTAAGATACTGCCATGGTCTCCAGTGAGCAGACATGAAGTTAGCCTTTAAATGAGTGGTGGCGTTGCTTATGAAGAGTGAGCTATTGAGACCATACAGAATGGGAATCAGGACCAGAAAGGTAAGTCCCTCCGTTCTAATAAAAACCCAACTACTCAATTACTGAAACCATCATTTTTTTAAAAAGGTCTGAGGGCAAAAAGAAGCTGTCAGTCATACGAGCAAGTCAACAATGCCCGGACCTTTTAAGAAAAAGGACAACTGGGTTAAGACAGGCCATCACAGAGCTGATGGGAAATCCAAGTGTAGCACAGCCCTCCTTTCACTCCACAGCTGCCTCAGCGGCCCTGCCTGCACAGGGGAACGGCTTTCTGAGCCGTGACACGCAGCACCCCAGGGGTTCCCTCCGACCTCACCAGGAAAACCCCATACTCTCTGTCTCTGGCAGGACATCACTGAAATTCAAACCGGGGAAGGGAAAAGCTTTCCGCCTGCCCGTACAGAGCACCCAGTGATCACAGGTGTTCGCGCCGCGCCACTGGCGGCAGCAGACCTTGGCTGATGGCCCCCGATCCTGACAGCAGCTGCCGGTGAGCCAGCACGCTGTGAGAACCACATCCCTGTCAGGCACAGGAGTCGGAGGACAAGCCCCAAGCTGGGGCTCGTTCCTCTCTAGCCAGCCACACACGGGCTCCTGGCTTGTGTAATTAAGAGGCGGCAGACTGTGGGCAAAGCAGTTAAGAGCTTTTTTCCTGGGAATGCAGCCTGAGTAATTGGCTTGCTGCTTGCTAATGACACAGCTTCTGCAAAAATAAACTGTCACAGGGAAGTCTTTCCACTGACTCGGTGAATGCAGGCTCTAGAGCTGTTTGATGCCCTGAGTGCAGCAGGGAATTCCAAAACACTTGGGGAAGAAGAGACGCAAGTGAGCCTCTTGCACAGTGAAGTTTGCACAAAAAGGAGCGCCGCACCGAGGTCTTGCTGCCTGTGCAAAACCGATGCGTCTCCCCCAGGAAGCTCCTTGTTAAGACTCCGTCCCATGTGGGTGCGTAAAAAGGTCCATCGTGTAGTGTGGCTCAGGTGGGGGAGGAAAGGATGGCTCTGCTAACTCAAGCTCAGGTGACACATCTTCCAGATTTGCTTCTGTTTTTCTGCAGGCTGCACAGGTTTCTGCCTACGACCCAGGGATGAGGAGACACATATGCACGGGTACACACACACACACACACACACACACACACACACACACACTCACAGAGACAGGCTCTGGCATCTTGGTGCCTACCAGCACTTTTGTGCCTGGACATTAACACAAACTGACAAGGGAAGCAGCCCTGAAGTCACAGGTGCCCATCATCATGGCACAAAGCCATTGCAATCACATCAATGATTGCAATCACATCAATTATCAATCATCCCTCGGTGGTCGTCAGAAGCATCTACCGGTATTTGGAGAACTTGGCAGTGGGGCTTCGAAAGGCAGGGAGCCCCTCTCTCAGCCCCTTAATGAACTTCTGCCTCCTGCTGCCAGGCTTGGGGGCAGGTGGGAGGAATCCAGCTGCAGCGCCAGGAGCTGCAAAGTTTTAAGGTTCTCCTTCCCCAGGTGACAGGAAGCTGTAAATGCCCCTCCCCCAAATGTCCTAAGCCACATGGAAATGGCTCCTCTTCATCCCAACGGCAATAAATTGGGGAGCCTCTCGGATCAATTTCACAGGCATTCGGTCTGGACTTTGTACACAGCATTCTAATTTGCTGTCAGTGCCCCCGGGGGAGAAGCTCACACCACCAATCAAAACACTATAGCCTCCAAGCTATCAGCTACCGCGTCAACCAGGTAATGCATCTTCAGGGGGGGGAACCAGACTAGAAAGGACAGCAACACATTGATTTTTTTTTTTTTAAAGAATCCCAGACCTGCAGCATAACGCTGCTAAAGCCAGCAAAACAACAAAGGACGCTTCCACAGCGAGGAAATGTCTGTGCTCAGTGCTGGGGCCGGAACATCCCTCCGTGTGAGCATGGGCGTGCATACAGGGCAGGGTGGTTCCTCCTGAAGCCCACAGGCTTTTTAATTCTGTAAATCACTCATCACTCAGTGCCTCGGAAAGCCCGGGGAGAGTCTGCCCACGTGAACAGCTGGGAACACCAGTTGAGAGCTGGCTACCGGGGAAGCAGGTGGAGCCTGCTTTTTTAATTCTCCTCCCAAAAGAAACAATAGCATTTGTCTCCTCAAGTTAAAACATCTAAGAAAAAGTCATCCATTTGAGAGAGAGCCGGGCTGCATTCATATAGAGAAAATTCCAGTCCTGCTCCCGTTATCCTGGCTCCCGTAGCCAGCCCACACATCACTAGGCAGTTAAAGACAAACCCACATACCTTCTATACCAAACAGATCCCCAGAACTTCAGATGCGGAGCCGGGCTCCGGTCCCCCATCCACGCCAAAGCACATTTAGTGAAGTCAAGCCCGACAGCATCCCCTCCCACCACCCACCCTCGGCCCCCGCCCCCCCAAATAATCACCAAGTAACTGGCAAGTCCTTACCGACTTGGGGCTCTTCTTGGGAACCGGCAGCCCTGGAAAAAATGCAACAAGGAGGGGAGGGGGGAAGAAATCGTTAGCACATAAACGTTACCTTTTCCTTAAAGAACAATCCCCAGGCGCTTCACGGCCACCTAGCCATCTGCAGAGTTATGTCAGATTTCTCCCCAGCTTCGGAGGTACCAGGCTGTTCATATCGAATCAAAGCAGAGGGAGGAGGAAGCCGGGGCAGGAGATCTATCTGCATTAGCTATGCTGACTTGTACTGCAGCAGCCTGGAGGCTGGGAAAAGAAATTCACAGACCTCCGCGGCCGGGAAATTGAACACTTGGACAGAATCTCAAATGCTCTTCTGGATTAAGACAGACTTAACTTACAATTAAGTCCAGGATATTTCCTTCCTACCCGATCCACTTGTCAATTGAAGCGGACCAATCAGGTCAGAGGATAGGGTATATATTGAATTTCAGTGGAGTATATGGTTAAAATTTAATTTTCTTTTTTTTTTTTGGGGGGGGGTCGTCTTTCCTTTCTTTCTTTCTGTTTTGTCTCTGTCTGCCAGGAGAGGAATGCCTTCTTTATTTGATGAGCACAACACCAAAACAAAGACGGATGCTCTGTGCCAGCACAGAGCACAAATGCAAGTTGGTCTGGGACCCCCTACGGATCGTGGACACACCCCTGCATGTGTCAGTCATCCCAGCAAACTCCTATTCAGCCTGCGGGAAGGGACTCAGTGGGGACTAGTCCCTTAGGGAGGCATGTCGCTGGGGAATGAGAGAAGGATCACAGAGCTGAGGGAGAGAGAATCATGGAGAGAGAGGAAAGCAGAGGAACGAAGCCGGTCAGGGGGCCTGTTGGCTCTTCCCCGCCCTGTTCTCCGTGGGGGTGAGACAGCTGGGAGGAGGGCACCTTCATCTCCTCACCTCTAGAGGCAGAGGGGTAGGGGGCGCATGGGAATGTGCCCCAGGGGAGCGCAGCAAAGGAGGGCTGGGAAGCAAGAGTGAAGCAAGCATCTAACAGTGTTTCCAAGGTAATCATTTCTGCAAGCTGCCCTCTCTCTTTTTAAATTTTTTTTTTCTGGTTTTAGCAAGGGGTCGAATATAAAATGCAGATTCCATCTGTATTAGACACCAAGGCACACTTTGATCTGATGATTCTGCCTTGGAAATACCAACATTTTAGAGAAAATGATCCCCATGTACTGTGAGGATTTCTACTCCCTTGGAAGTGACCTGTCAAACCAGGAGCCGTGCTAGGCTCGGTGCAGGTGACACAGGGCCTTGGAAGGGGTGAGCAGGAGAGGCCCCCCTGGGAGGGCCGGACGTCCCCTGCAGTCAGGGCTGAGAGGACCCTGTCCTCAGGCCCGAGGCGCTCTGTGGCAGGGCTCATCACATCACCAAAATGGGGTCACCGCAGTCGCGTAGAGTGGCTCTCAGACTCCAGGGTGCTAAGGAGCACCGGGCCACTTGTTAAAAATGCCAGATCCCCAGGCCCTGCCTGGCAGGGGCCCAGGAACCTGCATGTGAACAAATATTCCAGAAGATTCTGATGCAGGGGTCTGAGGGCCACGTCTAAGGAAACTACATTCTGAAGGGTGCTCCTGTTCAGAGTCAGGGGGAATCAGAGAGGAAACTTGCAGGGAGCCACTTTGGAGCCCCGAGTTTCTCAATCTATGAAATGGAGCTGAGACTCACCTCACAAGATAGCCACGGTCATTAACTGGACCAAAGGTTTAAAAGCCTGGTACTTGGTAAGGGGTGGCCCTCAAATGTCCTCCCTTTTCCTCTGCCTTTGCTACTTGACACCATTCAGGAAGGAAGTGGTTCTGCTTATCTTACTTTAACAAGGCAAAAATCACTTGCCTAGCATGTTAAAGTAGAAAAAATATTGTAGGGGAAATATCTTACCTATGGATGAGAATAACGTTGGGCGATTTAGGTTTGTCATTATTCTTAAAAATAATCATTAGGTGCTTTTATTTATTCATTAATATGATTCCCTTAATGAATTTTATCGTTATATCAGTGTGGATCACTGTGTATACTTCACAATTACCTACCATTACTGTTAAAGTTCAGATTTTCCCCTAATTCAGGCTAACCTTCTCAGATAACTGGACTGAGTAGGTTTCACCACAGTTAACTAGACTGGGCCTTACCCGGGGTCCCCATGACTCTACCAGAAATGTATGAAACATCTCCAGCCGGGTCAGAGGAGCCCGGGCACATGGCCTCAACCCTCACTCTGCCATCGCTCCTGTCGACGGCTACCCTGCATGTCCTGCCTCTAAATCTGCACATAAACAGAGGGCACGTCCATCTCCCTCACAGAGAAACCCGCACGGTCAGGGGCTGCACAGGGCGCTCGCGGCCAGGACGAAGGGAACCTGGGAGCAGCGGACGCTCCAGAGAAGCGTGGGCCAGCCGACTGTACAGCGGTCAGCGAGGTCAGAGGACGCGTGCCACCTCTGAGGGCAGTCCCATGGATGGTTCCAAAACACTACGGGGAGCGAGGACAGCCGGCTTCAGCTGGCGGCGGGGGGGGGGGGGGGAGCAGGTCAGTGCTGACCCACTCACACACAGGCACAGGCACAGGGGCCACGGCCTCCCCACCACACTGGCAGCAGGGACACTCTGTGGGACAAGGAAGGGCAGGGTTCCGGGGACTAGTGAGGCAGATGTAGCCTTAATCTAGAATTCTTTACCAGGAACACATACTCACATCTTGCTGAGATAATGACACATTAATTAATGGCCCTCCCATTAACTGCACGAAACCAACCAGTCTGAGGCCTAAACGGGTGATGGTGAGGGCCTGTCTCCCCTGAGGAGGCCATCAGTCCAGGGAGCAGTTCAGGGAATGGACCAGGGGACAGTCAGTCCAGGGAATAGTCAGTCCAGGGAGCAGTTCAGGGAACGGACCAGGGGACAGTCAGTCCAGGGAATAGTCAGTCCAGGGAACAGTCCAGGGAACAGAACAGGGGGGGAACGGACCAGGGGACAGTCAGTCCAGGGAATAGTCAGTCCAGGGAACAGTCCAGGGAACAGTCAGTCCAGGGGACAGTCAGTCCAGGGAACAGTCCAGGAACAGTCCAATGGCCCAGCTCCATTGACACAGCTGTATTTTACAACAACAAACTTATTTAAAGAGGCATTTGTTCCTGTTTGCTAGCTAGTTGTTGAAAACCCTCATTTAAAAGCCACTCCTTTTACAGGAGCACAGATCAGCACTTAAAGTCAAAAACCAAGAGATTCCACTCAACAGCTTTAAAGCAACAACAATGATTTGTTTCAGGTCCTTATATCATTAAATCTTAAAACCTAATGAATGCTGGAGCAAAGCTCCTGGTACAAGCTACCATTTATTTTAGCCCAAACTATTCAGATGGATTGAAGCAGCTGGGAGACCTAGTGGCAAACACTCAAAATCGGTTACCGTTCGGCAGAGTCCTCCAAGACCGAGGCATCTCAGGACGTGGCTCTGGTCTGGCTGGAGGGACCGCAGGCTGTCCCATCCCGGCTGGGACGGGAGCGGCACAGCCCACACGTCACAGGGAGGTGGTTCCCTGAGGACAGACGCGCACTCGTGTTCCCAGGGGGAAGCCTGTGTTGTATAAACCACATATTCCAGAGGAGGTGTGAGGAGGAACAGCCCTGGTCTTACTGGGCGCATCTGCTCCCTCCGGGCGGGGAGAGGGAGGGTGTGGAGAGCAGGCAGAAGAAAGGGCTCCAGGCTGCACCACCTGCGGCTCTGAGAGCCTAGAAGGCGGCAAATGCGGCTTCAAAGGGATCCCAGGAAACTTTTACTGGGAAGTGTGCGTTCACAGTGAGTCTAAGTGCGAGCCACGGAAGTGAGAAAGCCTGGGAACGGAGCCCCCCCCATGAGAAAGGCGTCCCTTTGGAGGAACAAATGGCAAATTCTCTGCCAGCGATGGGATCTGACCAATTAACATGAGGAGGAGGAATCTCGTTCCTTTTAAATGTCAAGGCCATAAACTATGCTATTGAACATGTGCTCATATAACTAAATGGCAAATGTTATTCTTGGTGAAATTTTATAATGGCAGTAACACAATTTATATAAAAAAGTAAAAATATAACAGAATATATATGTATTTTGGAAACAAAGGCTAGAAGGTAAACACCAAAACATCCAGTTGGTTCTTGGACTCATGGCATCAAGGATGGCTTCATTACCAGTTTCATTATTTTCTACAACAGGAAAAGCTGCTCAGAGGCACACAATTTTGCATATAATTTCAAGCCGTCTCTGAAACCTTGACCAGCCTTGGGAAACCCATTCTGTTGGGTCCTAGGACCCTCAGGTTAAATCGTCCCTGTCCAAGCACATCGCCATGGCATTAGATGCAATTCCTAGGAGGAGATTCACACCGCCTAAGTGTGTGCCTCCAGTAAGGGCGGCACGACTAAAGCACTGTACCTGCAAGTAGAAGGGAAGTGAGAAGGACCGAGCAGAAAGGTAAGTTTCATTGTTTGCTTCTCCTCCCTCGTTCTTGGAATGAGCCCCAGTAGAGGGTGTGCAGGAGGCAGCAGATCAATGATTGTCTTTCATCATTGATGTATGTCTGTCTGTCTGTCTGCCTGTCTCTCTCTCTCTCTTTCTCTCTCTTTCTTTTCCTCTCTGAAATCAATAAAAATATATATATTTTTAAAAAAGAATATACCAGAGCTCGGTGTGGCTCAGCGTTTGAGAGTCAACCTAGGAACCAGAAGGTCATGGTTTGATTCCTGGTCAGGGCACGTGCCCAGGTTGAGGGCTCGATCCCCAGTAGGGGGCATGCAGGAGGCAGCCGACTGATGATGATTTTCTCTCATCTCATGGATGTTTCTATTTCTCCATCCCTCTCCCTTCCTTTTTCTCTAAAAATCAATAAAAACGTATTTTTTAAAAAGAGCACACCAGAACACTAATATTCATCAGCAAAAATGCTACTGCAGGAAAACATAATGACCTTCTAGGTAATGCTTTTTACTGGAAAGGAGGGGTAGTATGATGACAGAGCAAAATACTA